TCGTAGCAGTAACTGAACGATGCTTGCTCCATGAAAGTTATCTCCCTTGCGCAGAGTGTTCGCAAAACCTCCAAAGTTATTAGGCGAATAAAAAAGTTCATGGTCAAGAAACTTGAATGAAGTTGTCTAAATGATTCGGTGAGTTGGGCAGGTTAACCAGTAGATAAATATATTTGATAATATATATGTATGACACTGATAATGTTCCCGGCTACGTACTTTGCGTTTTGCAGGTCATTGAAAGCTGAATGATTTGATTTCTAACTGTGGGGTCATTCTGCTGGATCCGCGGTAACAACCATTCTTTCAGCTAGACGGTAAGCGTCCAGTATTGCGTTCGATCACTATAGCCCTGTGCCGTCGAACTTTTTCGATCTTAGGGATTCCATTATGTGTTGTAGCAGACCAGAAGTTAAAAATGGCCGCGGTTTGTTAGCTGGTCGGCTAAAAACAACAGTAACAAATAAGCTTAAAGCTTTGGGACTGGGGTCAACCTTTAGACAACCTCCGCTATGCGAAAATATTTGTTCTGAAAGTAGGTTTAAGACATTTTTAAATTGTAGAGGTCCTCTTTCAGATAATGTAGGTCCAGAAAGTTCATTTATGACGAAACATAATAGAGACGTGTGTCTGAACAGTAAAGGGTTTGAAGAAGGAAGAAACAAATAGATAGAACTGAAGTAGGTAGCACTTCTTGATGTGCAAAACAATTGTAGAAATAGTCAGTTCGCCCTTTTTTTTTTTTTTTTTCTAATTTATAACTGAGAAACGACTATGGAGGGCTATATAAGAAGCCGGAACAAGGTGGCAGAGCCGCTACAACTTCCCTGTAAAATTGCACGCAGGAAACAGTTGGGAACTACCGCCCAGGCAACGGTTTCTTGCACAGAACTTCCTTACCAGCCATCCTCTAATAAAACTAATCCTAACAAAAATTTACTCGTAGTTTCTCGTACGAACGCTTTGTTATGGACGCTTCTGACACGTCAAACGTTCAGGAAACCGAAACAAGAGCTGTCAGGCAGGCACAACGTTAGCATTAAGCCTAGCACAAGTGAGGAACCCTTTATTAAAATTCATGCAGGTACGTAAATGGGGTAGCTGATTGGCCGAGCGGACAATACGTTTTTCACCTTCAGCCATAACTTAATTCATTTTCAGATTGGAAATGGTCTGTCTGAACTGTCAAATATTTACCTAGCTGGTACAAGGTAAAGTGGAACTTAGCGTTCTACTGGTGTACACCGGTACTGCTTCGACATGGAAAAAAAATGAGCTAGAAATACATACGGTCAAGCTCGGACCAGTTTTATGGCAGAATTTTTATTTCTACGCCGATTTGCTCTATTTGCCGATGTGAGCTAATAACGAGAAGACCAAAGGTCAGCCAGCCAGTCTTCTTCCGGTGAACACTATTGCGCCGGGTACTATTAGCTTATGAACCAAGGTGGTCGGATGGGAGACGGACCGCGTTCTGATGACCTTCTACACAGAAATGAGGAAGCTCACTCATTAGCATGTTCATCTGAGTTTTTATACGAACGCTGCAAACAGTCAGATTCAGAGCATTGACTCTACTCCACTTCAATCGATGGCTGGCTGGCTGGCTGTTGCTGTTTCAATCCCCATTACCGTGTCAGCTTCTTCACGTTTGACTGTTTCCTTTCTGCTTGGTCGGATGGTTACTGTTACTCCTAATGAAAACAGGTGCCGATTTCCTCACGAGAAATGCTGTAGAAAATCCACACGGATATCCATCTGTGTTTGGTGATGTGGGGGCGTATATGCGCATATGGAAAATTGCCCCTAAAAATTAGCAAGTTACGATGCTACTTTTGCATGTAAAGAGAAGCTGCATATTTCCATCGTCTTCAGCGAAAGAGCGCGTATCGTTCATCGGATAATAAAGTTAATTTATTATCTGTCCTGGCTATATGACTTGCAATTTCCGAAGAAGGTAACAATAACTGAAAGAGAAAGGGTTCTTACTAAGAAAGGTTATATTTCGAAATAAAGAGTTTTTAGTATTTACTGAATGCACGTTTGATTTATCTGAACTCTTATAGCCTGTTAGTTCGTTTAGTGTTTTTTAAGATATTCGATCTTTACCATATCTTGAATAGCGGATGATTTTGGGGGGGAAACGGCTAAGATGTTTATATATTATACTAACTTTTTTGGTTCAATGTCGTTCATTTGGAATTATGTATTGTTAAGCTTGCGAGTGTCCCCAATTTGTTTTTTCCCATAAATTGTTAAACGTTTCAATGTATTATGTTATGAAACATGTTTTATTGTTGTTCCGGACAAGTGTAACAGCTACGTTTTGATAATTAGTAGAATTACCATTGAGAAAGTTCGTATAAGAAGAAGTTTTTACGTTTTTAACACCATCTGATATCACATTTACATTATAATTACGCTTCGGACAAGTCATTAGCGCGATTTATTGAAACGCCCGCATGTTCGCTTTTGGGTCATTTACCTAGAGTGGATACGACGGCGTCCGTGAAAAGCCTTCGATACAATCTACGTTTCGGGTCCGTGCAAGCGACAATATATATTATACCGAACATTTAATATGTGGAATGCTATTTTATATTAGAAAATATATAATCAGTCTATCGTAACTGGGAAACGATAATAGTGAGGCCCAGTCTACTGACCAATTAACTCTATAGGAATGTCCGCCGCTCTCTAATACTATAGGTGTACCGTATGCGACGGGGCAGGCCATAGCACGCAAGAATGGGGTACTCTGTAGCTTGGTACGTGCCGTAGCTTGCTGGACTGACTTCAATGGATTTTTGAAAGCACCAATGTCTAACTAGCTCACACCAAGAACGGTAGCTGCCTTATTAGCGACACTCGCGCGAACGAATCAGCGAAAACATCGTAGTTACGGTACCAACGGCGCCAGGTTTGGCACCAACGATATCAACAATCACAGGAAACCATATTCAATTTTAGACTAATCAACTTGATCAATAGCGCCTAAAATACAATTACCTCGTGACCTAGTAAAAAAAAAAAACTAGTGAAGTTACTGCTACCGCTATATCCGCTGCCCGAAATACAAAAGCGAACTGTTACAGCCGACATAGTGACATCTACCCTTTATGACGGGCGCTTTCTTATTCAAATCGCTGATTCCGTTTGTCTGTCCAGCACACGCCCGCTACCGCCGCTGTTGTTGTAGTTGTCATTAACGATCATCAGCACTACCTGTGTAAGTGCCATCTAGATAAATACAATCCCTATTACACAACTTCCACACCGACAAATGCGAATCAACGACACAATGGCCTATTCTGACAATGACGTTTGGTAATCTGCACACCTTTATGTTATCTTCGTACGTAGTTTATTCGCTCACCCGAAAGACGTCCGTAAGTGTGCCCGTGTGTGTACGCGAATAAGTGAAATCAACAAATTCACTTTCAGCCTCTATGAATATGGTTTACTATATATAGTGCAGCCATCTTTTTTTGTCGTCGTCGTCGTCGTCGTCGTCGTCGCCGCCGCCGCCGCCGCCGTCGTAATCATTCATCGATACGAGAACGAGCAGTTAAAACGGCTCGTGCGTAGACGACAACAAGCAGTGCAGAATAGCTCGACGCCAGCTGTCGTTTGTTTTTCTGGATTTTCGGTTACGCATCAGAAGAGTCTGTACATACACCAGAATAGAGGCATGTCATGGTAGATGTACAGCAACAAGAACGCTAGACGCAATAGTCGAAGTCGCGGGATAATGGCGGATAAAAAAAGTTTAGAATCATCAAAACGGCGTCTACAGAGTTTGTCTTCAGTATAGGTTTGCGTGGTCCTTTGAAAACAACTTGCGGAAAAAGCGACGTAGAGCATGGCAACGTGATTTAATGCGCTTATATATATATATATACGTGTCAGGTAGAACACGATGGAGTTTACCTATTGTTACAGTTTAGATTCAGGCCAATTTCGTACAGGCCGAATTTTGGGCTTAGCACTAACAATGCAACCTGGTTCCGTCGAGATGAGTGTCCACTAATTTTCTTTCTCTATAGCTCTCTTATGCTTCACGGAATCAACGGGCCGAGGCCACGTCAATCCGAATCCCGATCTCATTAGACCAAACCCCTCCACCTTCCCTGCGCACACGACGTATTAGTAGAATCTTCTATTTATTTGGAAATTTATATATTCAACCTAAAAACGCCTGTGTGTACTTATATTGACATCCGGCAAGCTTGTTCTAAGGATCACTATGCACTGAATTGATAATAAATTATTTTCATTTTAGGTAAACATTCTAGATGTATTAAAACTAAATTAAGACAAACCGATATGCATCCAGTGTTATTGTCTAAAAAAATAACTAATAAACTACTTATTTTTGGCACGATAACAGTTGTTCCCTTGTAAGAGACACATTGGCTTGTATGGTACTCTCCTTACGATTGAGACCGTTTAGAGGTTAAGAATGGATTAAGTAATATAATTGGTCGTCGTTGTTTCTAATTATTCTAGTTAATTGCCAGTAACGCTAGGATAGCACTATCAGAGCTTTAAGTCCCTGTCAGCTCTCGTCTGCTGTTCGCCATTTGCAAACAACTTCAGCTTTGCTTATAGCTGAATTTTAAATCGATATTTTGTAAGGATCTAGTTATAATTTTGGTTAGATGAATTGTGAGCCTTTATTCCAAACTATTATACCCAAAACTGGGCTTGCTTGTCTTTTTCTGGTTATTATCAACCCATAACCAGCACAGCAATACGGCCTGCAATAGTGTTGAAGACAAACACTTGAGCCGGACGCGCCTCACCCGCTACAACCTAGATGGGTTGGGTTTTTTTTTTTTTTTTTTAACTTTTTTTCACTTAAGCCTTTATACTGCATTCGATATTTTCTCTAAATAGCGTTTAGGTCTCTCCCGAAATTTCGGCTCAGACCAGAAGATACTATGGTCATATTTGAGTCGTGACTATTTTCTTCGATATAATTGCATAGCTACAGTTCAGGGCCAAAGTTTTTGTTGAGGCAAAGCGGCCATTATTTAAACAAACACACACAATAGCTGCCTATGACGAGCGAAAAGTGCACTAAACATGTTGCATCCTACACAAATGGAAAGTCAAGGAAATCTTCACATTCTGGTTGTGCGCGCTATACTAAAAGGAAAGTTCTGCGTATTATTCGAGTCATGCTTTTGGGGGGTAAATCAACGTGTGCTTTACTTAATTACCCCCAACAATAATAGATGAAACTGAACCCATCAGCACCTACTTAGCTCTACTTTAGCACACAGGGTGCTAAGTATATATAACTAAGTATAAT